CCCCCCCCCCCCCCCAGCTACCCATAACACTCTCTCAGTCGTAAGCCGAGGAGTACTTGTACCCCTCAATTTGCCTGCACTTAGCTGCTCCCTGGGGGGAAAAAATTGCAACCCCAAGCTTTTGCCCTTGACAGCCAAGCTCACAATCTTAGCTCTTTTCTCTTTAAGGAACCGGTTCCTCGGCTCCCCATCGAGGATAATTCCCCCCCCCCTCCGGTCATCTCATTCCTCAGCCTCCTCCACAGATTCCACTGTTCCTTCTCTTGTTCGCTCTGGTGGGATTCCTCAAATAATTCGGAGTGGGGAGCAGATCAAAAGAGCTGGAACAGTTTGCCCTGCCCTGGCCTGAGCTCAGAGCTCGGGACACAGAATAGCAGAATAACAGAGTTGGAAGGGACCTCGGAGGTCTTCTAGTCCAACCCCCTGCTCGGGGAGACCTGTACCATTTCAGACAAAAGGATGTCCAGTCTCTTCTTGAAAACCCCCAGTGGGAAGGAAGGAAGGAAGGAAGGAAGGAAGGAAGGAAGGAAGGAAGGAAGGAAGGAAGGAAGGAAGGAAGGAAGGAAAAAAGAATAGCAGAATAACAGTTGGAAGGGGTCTTTGAGGTCTTCTAGTCCAGCCCTCTGCTCAAGCAGGAGAACCTATACCATCTCAGACAAGTGACTGTCCAGTCTCTTCTTAAAAACCTTCAGTGTTGGAACACCCACAACTTCTGGAGGCAAGCTGTTCCACAGGTTAATTGTTCTAACAACGATGAATTGGTCACTCTCTCCTTTCTTTTCCCTAAAGGAATGTCAGCCCTGTCGTTTACAGTGTCCCCCTTTCCTTCCTTTTAGGTGGACCCTGCCGATGTCAATGTCCATCATTCACCGCGGGACCGGTGTGGGAATGAGTTTCGGTGGGTCATAATTTCTCAAATCTTTTCCCTGATTGACAAGGAATGTTTCCCGCAAGGAACAGGAAACATCCGTGAGTTATTGCATCACCGAAGATCATCATCGGTCTTAGGTGATACCATAACTCACAGGGCACCTGGGACGATCTCATGGCAGCCACACCAGAAGCAATTAGGGGGTTAGCCTCCTTAGAGGCTGAATTGTAACATCTGTCCCATTGCAACTCTATGCCTTCATTTTATCATGATTTTATTATGGATTTATCTTAATTTAATATTTTATCTCCTATGTTGCATTGTCCACATATATTTTCGATAGAGATAAATTATATATATATATATATATATATATATATATATATATATATATAGATATAGATATAGATATAGATATAGATATAGATATAGATATAGATTAGATAGATAGATAGATAGATAGATAGATAGATAGATAGATAGATAGATAGATAGATAGATAGATAGATAGATAGATAGATAGATAGAGGTAGGTAGGTAGGTAGAGAGAGAGAGAGATAGACAGATAGATAGATAGATAGACAGATAGATTATAGATAGATAGATAGATAGATAGATAGATAGATAGATAGATTGATAGATAGATAGAGGTAGGTAGGTAGGTAGGTAGGTAGGTAGGTAGATAGATAGATAGATAGATAGATAGATAGATAGATAGATAGATAGATAGATAGATAGAGGTAGGTAGGTAGGTAGGTAGGTAGGTAGGTAGGAAGAGAGAGAGAGAGATAGACAGATAGATAGATAGATAGACAGATAGATGATAGATAGATAGATAGATAGATAGATAGATGATAGATAGATAGATAGATAGATAGATAGATAGATAGATAGATAGATAGATAGATAGATAGATAGATAGATAGATGGAATTTTGGGCTGAAATGTCCTAACTCGAGGACTACCTGCATTGTGTGTCCTGCTGGATGTGTTTCCTCACCAGGTGTATCGCTCTTCGCCTTAAGTGCCTTGGCTCTTCCTGGACACTTTTCCGACTACCTGGACCTGATCAAGTCACTCAGCCTGGCGCCCGCTCTGATCTATTCAGCCAAGTTCGCTTTGTCCCTACCTGTCACCTACCACACCTGGAACGGGATTCGGCATCTGGTAAGCAGCCTTTTGAGCAGCCGCTACTACCCCTTGTATG